TGAATATGCTATAGTTGCCTGTGATATGGCAATTATCAGTGGTGAAAGGCCAAACCACGTCTGGTTCATGTTAGCTCGCTTTAAAATGAATAGATAAATTAATAAACATAAGAAATTATTAAAAATAAGAATTATAATATATATATTAAAGAAATGAATTACCTTCACCATTGCTTTTACAAGTTCATTTAATCCAAGAGCAACAGCTAGAATAAAATAACTTGGAAATTTCAAGCCAGAAATCCCACCACGATCAGAATTCTTTGTATTTTTTACAAAAATTGGTGAATTTACATCGCCTGGAATACCCCGTTCATACATTGCCAACGCAACATCATCCATTCGATGAGCAATAGCCATCAAAAAAGCGCGATTGGCTTCAGTAGATTTTTTCTTTTTTAGAGAACTAAAAGAACTATTCGGTATATATGAAAGTATTGTTAATGCATCTGAAATTTTATTATCTCTAATGGCCAATACAAGGTTGTTTAATAAAACTTTTGAGAAATTGAGTAAAATTGAAAAAATTTTTTGAGGAATTGAGTAAAATTGAAATAATTTTTTGAGGAATTGAGTAAAATTGAAATAATTTTTTGAGGAATTGAGGAATTGAGTAAAATTGAAAAATTTTTTGAAGAATTGAGTAAAATTGAAAAAATTTTTTGAGGAATTGAGTAAATTGAAAAAAATTTTTGAGGAATTTAGTAAATTGAGAAAAAATTTTTTTGAGGAATTGAGTAAAATTAAAAAAAAAATTTTTTTGAGTAATAGAGTAAAATTAAAAAAAATTTTTGTCAGATAATTCGAATAATCCGAATTAATCATAAAATTAAAATAAAATAAAATGATAACTTACCAGAAGTAGTTCTTTTCTTGCCCTTTTTTATACCAAGAAACTTTAGGGCACTAGCAGAAGAACTCCTTCTAACCAAGGACAAAGTAGACTTATTATTTATCGATTCCTTTGCTTTTGTGAGCTAACATGAACCAGACGTGGTTTGGCCTTTCACCACTGATAATTGCCATATCACAGGCAACTATAGCATATTCA